CGACCTGTTAAAACCATCGAACCATCCACGCATCATCCGTGAAGAAAAGAACAGGTCGCTAATCCCGCAAACCCACCACGAATGCATCTTTTATCGAAATCATTAATTGAGAAGTATTTCTTGCAAAAATCACTCTTGCCTTCTTAGTGTTGGAAATACGAGCAATTTACCGAATGATTTTATTAACAGAAATAGTAGATAAAGCATGACTAGTATGACAGTGATAAAATAAGTCATGCAATTTATATAAAAGAAGGTAAACAATATCTTTATATATGAACCGTGACTAAACACATCTAGAGCAGACAGTATAGCAAGTTGCATATATGAAATAGAGTCTAATATATCTAGGGCAAACACTAGAACAAGAAACTGTAGCAGGACCTTTAATAGAAAGAGGAAGAACACGTACGGCACAGCAGCAGCAGAAGCGCAGTCGCGTGAAGCGCTCCCCAAAAACCTTATCTCCCTTCTTCCGTACAGGACTCAAAAGGTACGACCTCTCTTAAATAGGCACAGGAGAAGGAGGCGGACAGGGCGAACAGGCTGCGACGGGAGGTGAAGTAACAGAGGGAGACGAAGCGAACAGACTCGTCGCGTCGCGTCGTGGCGAGGCGTGGCGTGGCGTGACGAGGCGGGCGGAGGAGGAGAAGCGCGCGTGGATGTCCCTCTTGTTCTCATACTCATACAAGTGAGGAAAGAACCTCCCTTATAAAGAGGTCCAACTCCCTCTAAACTAGCAATGTGGGACTAAACTTTAGTTCCACCTCTTACCTTGCACGAATGGGCTGCGTGGGCCTCTAGGATTTATTAGAAATTTCTGAAACTACTATTGGGCTAGGCCCAAAATAGACAAAATTCCAGCAATCCCCCACCAGATCCCAGAGACACACATAATTTGTTTTTGGTTCCAAAACACTGTTTTATATACCGGTACTGCAGTGAAGACTGTTAAGTTGAACTTTCACCTAGAACTCTATGCTACACTAGTAAGCAATTTAAACAATAGACTGGGCCTTGAACTGCAAGTTTTCTGTGAATTTACCTTCACATAAAGCCTTGACCGATACTAGGCTACCGTGGGTCTTCCCCGCGGATGGAGCTTATGCGTCATATTCCGTGACCTTTCATGAGTTTACTTGAGAGAACCCTACTCTTATAGATTGTGACGTTTGACAATCAGACTCATATATGTGTGTTCTTCAAAAGATGTTCTGCAGGACAACATGTCTGCTTAAATGAGCCACTTAGAACACATTAAGATATACATCAACCTGTCATGCAGATTAGGAGAGTATTGCATCGTCATGGAGTGGTATTTTTAATAGTAAGGATACTCTCCTCTCAGTTGATCAACATCTTATCTTCCACATCTAATTCACGGGATCTCCGATCACAAAGAATATGTTACCACTGTGAACAACTCATATTGTGGGTCTCATACCCATCTCCCTCGAGCATTATCTATCACATTACGTGATAAACTCTTATTAAAAGGATCTACCAGTTTTTTTAGAAGTTTGGATATAATCCAATGCAATAACTCCGGAGTTTCTCATTTTCCTGACAGACTTTAACCTTCTCTGAACGTGTCTTGATGACTTCATGTTATCCTTTGAGCTGCTCATTTTCGTGATCACAGTTTGATTGTCGCAGTTCATATCGATACCCGATACAGGTTTCTCAATAATCGGCAAGTCATTCAAGAGCCGGCAAAGCCAATCTGTTTCGACCGTAGCTGTATCTAGTGCTGTGAGTTCTGCTTTCATTGTTGACCTCGTTAAGATGGCCTGCTTGCAAGACTTCTAAGAAACAGCGCCACCTTCATGAGTGAATACATAACCGCTCGTGGCCCTTATCTCATCAGCATCTGAGATCTAGTTTGAGTCATTATCTTCAAGCACCTTTGGGTGCCGGGTGTAGTCCATAATTCGCAGTGCCTTTCAAATAACGCAAAACTCTCTCTAGAGCTTTCCAATGCACATCTCCTGGTTTTGAGACAAACCGACTCAGTTTGCTAACAGCAAAAGAGATGTTAGGTCTTGTAGCACTGGCTAAGTACATAAGCGAGCCAATAATCTGAGAATATTTCAATTGATCTTTAGCAATTCTTTGACTCTTTCAAAGTAACACACTCGCATCATATGATGTTGGAGAGGGCTTGCAGTCACTATAGCCAAAACGACTCAAGATCTTTTCCACATAGTGAGATTGAAGCAATGTAATCTCACCATCATCGTCTCTCAACAACTTGATGTTCAGAATGACATTAGCTACTCCTAAATTCTTCATCTCAAAACAACGAGATAGGAAATCCTTGACCTCCTTAATAACATCCATATTTGTTCTGAAAATCAATATGTCATCAACATACAAGCAAAGAATAACTCCTTCGCCCCCACCATGGTGATAGTACACACATTTGTCAGCTTCGTTTACAACTATATCTGGCCATGGGCCGGGCTTGGGCCGGGCCTAAAAAAGCTCATGGCAGAAAACTAAGGCCCAGGCCCTCCCAGGCCCTATTTTTCAAGCCCAAGCCCGGCCCATCTGGTAAAAAGCCCTGAAAAGCCCTTAGGGCTTAGGGTCGTGGGCTAGGCCTCTTCCTTAAAATGTCGATATGCTAAGCCCAAGCCCGGCCCACGGTCAAGCCCATCGAGCCTAGGCCCTGGATTTTAGGGCCGGGCCTAGGTGGGCCGACAGGGTCGGGCCTGAGATGGCTAGGACTATTTACAACAAAGCCTGCAGCTAATAAAGTTCTTTCAAACTTCTCATGCCACTGTTTAGGTGTTTGCTTGAGTCCATACAAAGACTTCAGCAACTTGCACACTTTTTCTTCCTGACCATCTAGTACAAACCCATCTGGTTGTTCCATATAGATTTCCTCGTCCAACTCTTCATTTAGGAAAGCAGTCTTAACATCTATTTGATGAACGAGAAGACCATGTGAGGCAGCTAGTGAAAATAGAACTCGAATAGTGGTCAGTCGAGCCACATGTGAGTAAGTATTAAAGAAATCTTCACCTTCCTTTTAGGTATAACCCTTAGCCAAGAGCCCTTGTACTTTCCAATAGTACCATCAGACCTAAACTTCTTCTTGAATACCCATTTGCATTCTATAGGTTTGCACCCATAAGGACAATCAGTTATCTCCCAAGTTTCATTCGCCAAGATGAACTCCATCTCACTACGAACCGCTTCTTTCCAGTAATGAGCATCTTCAGATGCATAGGCCTCTGAAATAGAACTGAGAGTGTTATCTATGAGATACACAAGACAATCATCACCAAAAGACTTTGCAGTCCTCTGTCTCTTGCTCCTAGTAGGAACTTCATTATTCTCCTCCACATGATAGACAAGATTCCAGCACTTAGGTTGTGACAAGTGACGCGCTGCATGTGCGTCATTTATCACAACCTGAGAATTTTTCCTTTTTTATAGATATGTTTATTCAAAACATTTTATCTTTTAACCATGCATCCAAATCTTGAACTGTTTTTACCGTTGAATTCCTCGCGTCGAGATCTTCAAAACTAGATCCCGTGTTGATAGATTTTAACGAACTTTCTTTTACAAAAAAATCAAACCGGGAGCCTGATTTTTTTTCCTTTCCGCAAGAGCACGACTGTCGACTGTGCCTCTCGCAGGAGCAAAACCATGCCTCTCGTGAAAAACAAACAAAAACGCATTCTTTTTTCATTTCCGAGAGGTCATGCCACTCGCGAAAAGCATAATTGTACCTCTTACGGAAGAAAAAAACAGAAACATGTTTTTTTTTCATTTCTGAGAGGCACGGCCATGCCTCTCACGAAAACACAACCGTGGCTTTCGCGGAAGCAAAACCATTTCTCTCGCGGAAGAAAAAAAATAAAAAAACATGTTTTTTATTTTTCTGAGAGGCGCGGCCGTGTCGCTCGTGGAAGGAAGAAAAAAGGAAATACGTTTTTTTCGTTTTCCGAGATGCATGGTTTGTGCCTCTCGTAAAAGCAAAAGCCGTACCTCTCACGAAAAAACATGTTTTTAAAAAAAATCTTTTCAAAATTTTTGTTTGATCCAAAAGCTAAGGAAGACCAGTGGAAAACAAAAAATTCAGAACAAAACCGTTTAAAACCCAAAAACATGTGTGAAAAAATAAAAATAAAAATAAAATTCGAAGGGAGAGCCGGCCCACCCGCAAGTGATCGCTGCGAGGCTCCGGAAAGAGCGCTCTTCAACTAGTTGTTCTCACTTTCTCCCCCTCCCCACTAAACCTGGCATTCATCAGGCCAGGCCTGGTTTCAGGCCGGGCTTGTCAAAGCCCAACAACAGATTTGCCAGCCCGAGCCCGGCCGAAAGGCCCCACACATCTTTTTGTTACGTGATCCACCAGGTCATCCCGTGGTACTGAAGGCCCAGCCCAGCTGGAACGGCCCAGGAGGGAGGCAAGGCCCAACCCGTGAGCCCAGCTGGAACGGCTCAGTGAGTAGATACACTCTGGTGAGCTGCAACAAATAAAGCTGTATTTAAATCTCAAGCTCGATTTGATACTATCGTAATTTCGTACTACTATGTCTTTTCTGGTTCTCAAGCTCGAATTTAAACCTAAAATTTCTGACAAAGCACATGGATATTGTATGACTGAAGCAGAAAAATATATTGTTTCCACATGGACAACCTCCCCATATTTTCTCAAACAAAATCATATACATGCTAAAAAAAATCAAAGTTCAAATGTACATCAGCGCCTGCTACATGAAAGAGAGATGGCAAAGACAACTCATCGCAAAAGAGAGCAAGCACCCATGTCACAACAACTATTCAAGGTCACACAGATCCAGAAACACAGGACACAGCTCATATAGAAACACGAAGAACACGCCAAGGCCCCGGTAGAGGAAGGCCCCCACATGTACAACATACCACACCGCTAGGATTATTACTGTACATGAGCAGCATTACCGTAGGCTAAATACGCTGCTGCCGTCGAAATGTACAGTGGGGATGGAGGATGCAGGATCTTCTTACGCCTTGCTGGCCTCCAAGGCCTGGAAGACGTCCGTCCGCGTTACGATACCTGCTTGTCGGAAATAAATGGTCATGTATGTGTGCGGTGTTCTTGTTCACGCTAGGAAGAACAATAATGTTTTATCCAGCAGTTATAATGGAAGGGTTCTCTGCAGTTTAGTGAAGACAATGCTTCTTGTTCTCATTAGGTAAGTAAATGTGTATGCAGTTGCGTGAACAGTCTTCTGCAGTCATTGCGGTTTGATGCATTGGTTGCTCAAACTAGGTTCCGGGGAACTGAGAAACGGTGCCTACAGTTACAGTGAAAAGCTTGAAGACTAAAACTGAGAAATGTGTGGCTGCTTTCGGCTTGTTTTCAGTGGAGATAACTGGGAATGTAGATTACACTGGTAGTAGAATGTCCAAGAAATACGAGTCTTGATAAGGTAGAAAGAAAACTAAAATGCATTATTTCATAAGAGCATCACTCAGTTACCATCTAACCAGCAGGTACCCGACATCTTTACCCTACTATCCAAATGCAAACAGCTAAAACCAATGGTTCTACATAGCGGCAAACTTTTCTTTTTAAACTACACTGCATCGAGTGGCATTTATGGTAACCATATTAAGTAAATTGCTGCATCTAATTATTATTTTTCAGAAATGGCAATCAAAGGGATTTGCCAACTCTTACCGATCACTTGCTGTTGTTCATTCACAACTGGTATCCTGTGAACTTTGTGCTTGAGCATTAGTGCAGCAGCTTCTGCTCATGAAACAAGTTTAAAAAAAAACACATTAGCACATCTTACTGAAAATACATTACATTTCTTTATTACAGTAGCTATTATGTTGTAGAGCTGTAGGGCTGTAGTGTAGAGGGAAGCAAAAGTTACCCAAGACAGTCTTCTCTAGAGTCAGAGTTACAGCAGGAGAGGACATGACTTCTCCAATGGTTGAGTCCAACTGCATCATAAGAACAGGCAAGGATGGATCAACGTCACCAAAAATGCTTATAGACTGAATCTCAGAAACTTACAAAAAAAATCTCACATTATTCTCTAGTATAGTTTAGTGCACATGAGGTCATATCAAAGCCAAACCAAAGATTATTAGAAGTAAGGCGAGAGTCTTAGAAGCAGCGGCCTTTATTTAGGGATGTTTCTAACACACATGTCACCGTTTAGTGATGATTTAGACTACAATTAAATAGGTCCTGGAATACAATAATGTGTTAAAAACTAACTGTCGAAGATCAGTTCATACATACTCAATTTGCATCTCGATATTTTACTAGTTAACTGATATTTATTTTCTTAACCTGTAAAAACAATCGAGACAAAATTTTCTATGGGGTTAAACTTTTGTTATTCCTCACTTGCAGGCTGGTTCATATATAGGTAACTGCTGCCCAATGGACATCAGTAATATTCAGCATGTTCGATGCAAAATTCAGGGTAGATGTTTTTACGCACTTGAGGTTATCTTTGAAAGTTCACACCATCTAATTCAACCCCTAAATGTTGTGGTACCACCTTACAGGACTTGAACATGTTAATGGTTAAATTCTTTTAGTTATACAATTTGTGCTTCAGCAGGCACCATTTTCTTTCCGCCCCCAAATGTTCTGTGCATTCGAGGTTATTCTTTGAAGTTCATGCCATCTAGTCCAATCCCTGAATATTCAGGTACCAACCTCAGGGGACCTCAACATGTTATTGTTTGCCTAAATTTGATTATATTTTGTGCTTCAGCATTCAGTATGAACTGAAAGTGCAGCTAGTGGTACTGTAAATCTAACAGTGGGTGGAGCATACAACTGAATTTGACTTTGACATAAATCCATGTTCAGACAAATCAAACAAGACAGGAACAATTCCCAATCCATGCCTTCTGTCAGATTAGACATATATTCTAACAAATGATGGTTCGAGATACAATTGGTTGAAGAGCACAGACTCACCCCATTGGAGGCCCTGGCCTTGTCCTTCTTGGAGACGACCCCGATGCACCTGCCCTCGCCGTCGACGACGGGCAGGCCGGACTGGGTGGCGAAGAGGGCGTCGATCTCGGCCAGCTTCTGGTCCGGCGTGGCCACCTCCACCGGGCGCGACATCACCTCCCCGAGCTTCGCCGTGGGGCTCATCTGCAGCAGACCAACCGAACCAGATTCAATTCGATGCAGTCGCGACGGAACCGCCAGAAACCCATCAGATCCAGCCAAAAAAAAAGGTGAAAAGAACGCATCTGGCAAGAAGGCGAGCGAGCGACGGACGGACCTTGTCGGTGGAGACGATCTGGGACTCGAGGTACTGGCGGAGGTCGTCGTAGCTGGCGAGGGAGAAGTTGCCGGGCCACTCGCCGGACAGCACGCCCTCGGGGTTCTCGTCGATGGCCGGGCGCATGTCCATGTCCCCCAGCGCCGCGGCCACCACCCGGCGCCGCCCCCCCGGAACGCTGACAAAGGAGGCAGATTTCGCCGGCCCGCGGGGCGGCGCGGAGGGGGAGAATGTCCTCGCGGCGCAGTGGACGGCGGCGGAGGGCGTGGACGCCATTGACGTCGACGGCGCGTGAGATTCGGCGACGGGATTGCGGTCCGGAGCGAGTGCTGTGGCGATGGGTCTCGCTCTCGCGCGCGCGTGTATCACGGGTGGGGTGGAGTGGAGTGGGCAGTGGCGAGTGGTGTGGATGTTTCTGGAAGGACGTGGAGGAGGGGGGCCCACCTGCAGGCGGACGGACGGTGGCCACGTGACGTGTCACCGTCGCGTACCCACGCCTCAAACCTCCTCCAAAATCAAACTTTTTATAACATTTGATTGACTTTCACACGCACAACATTTGATTGACTCAAGGGGGTGTTTGCTGAACGACTTTCCTCTAAAAAAATGTAATGTACTTATCGTTATGACTAACTAACGGATTTGCTAGTTCACGCCTAATGGAATTTAACGATGTCACATCTAATAAGTCTTCCATAACACTATAGGGTTCTATAATATTCGTGCAGGTTTGTTGATGTGTTCCCGCACCGATGTGTGATGTGCCGGCCGCCTCTCGTCCTTGTGTCTACATAGTTTTGTCTATACTAGCACATATGTCTGTGCGTTGTAACAAGAGATTTTTTTCTGCGAGAAGCATCGGAAGAGCTAACTGATGTGTCCATCAAAACGGTCTCCGCAGCGGTTGGGCGACAGAGCGAGGAGTTGCGGTGTTCTCGCGGGTCATGTTTGGCCCGCGAGATCTTGATAGTGCTGGAGTTGGTCGGCGTGGTGGCTACCACTCAACTCGTGTGTTTTTTTCTTGGTTTGCCTCCGTGTCTAGGTTATGGTTGCCTCCTCATTTTGTGGCCACACGGTGATCTTCGGGGCATAGTTGCTTCGACCACTTCCCTACGATGACGTAATCGGATAGATTACTAACTCAATTAATCTCATTTCATTGTCATAATCAACACATAAACAGGTGGTCCCTACTTTATCGGGGTTTATTCTCTTTAATTATCTTAGCGCTTACTTGCCTATATTTTTTTAATCAGAGCCAAACCAGCATATCCTCTTTTATTGGCATGTGCCAAAATTTCTTTTAATTATACCTAAGCAATATATTCTCTTGTATCGTCAAATGGCATGTGGGATGCACAATAATTCGTGTCTGGGTCAGGTCACTGGCAGTTACCAAAATGACGTGTGCTTGTAAGAGACGAATAAAAATCCAGAAGAACCGTTGAGTCAAAGGATTAGACTCATGACCTCAATATTTTGACCACGTGCTTATAGCCATTCGAACAAACAACTCCTGCTAAAAAATGGCCAGCTCAAACACATGTACGAAATGGAGAAAAAAAAACAGGCCAGCTCAATCTTCGGCCCCATGTACGAAATTCTGACTATTTGCCGCCCCATACGATAAATAATGTTTCTCATATGCATGAGCAGGAAACCAATGGTCTTGCTTTGCTGGACCGCCGCCGGCCCACGTACAAAATTCGGTACAAAACAGTTTCTCTTTTTTAACAGGTGGACACACAAAAATTTAGTACCATCTTGAATAGAACAAAAAAAAATCCGATGATGAACGGATTAAAAAATTGAAGAAACCCATCGTGCTTTATTAGCAGACGATGTAAATATTATTTGAGTTCTAATAAAGCTAGTCATGAAGGCTTTTCTCTCAAAAAAAGTAAAATTGCGACCCACCTTTGCAAAGATTGCCCCTGCTCGGTCGTAGTCTGGAACCAGGTGATCACTTGGCCAATGAGGAGTTGCCGGTGTCAAATTTCCTCCGTGAACCTGGTGTCGTGTCTGGATGGTGGATGCTCATTAACTAGTCAAATGAAATGTGAAGGCATTGTAGCGGCAGGCTCATTCACAAATCATGGCCCATCTGAAAAGTCATTTACAACTCATGGCCCATCTGAAAAGAGAGGAACATACATGTTTTCATAGGTCGTCGCATGACACACCATGAGGCAGCCTTGCTGACCTTCAAGGAGTGACTTGGCATTTGCTGGGGCCATGCCCACTGTGGGCATTGCTTGAGTAAATGTTTTTGTTTCTTTGGGTTTTGCTGCGTACACCCATCAAAAACGTGTGCCCTATACATTATCAAAAGTTAGTGCTCCTGTCGATTCCCCAAATATAAAAAAATGTGTGTCATGAGTGAAAAATAAAGTTGTTTCTCTTTATTGAAATTATGCACAAGTTCACGAAGAGAGAGGTCCACAAAGCGTTCCAAGGAACAAAGACATGTCGACGATTTTGTTGTTGTTGTTGCTGCTGATGTTACAACGAACTCAACGTTTAGGTGTAACAAAAATGTGTCTCATGAGTGAACTCAAAATAATGATGTTTCTCTTGATCGAAATTATGCACAAGTTGATCAAGAGAGAGAGATCCACAAAATGTTCTAAGAAATAAAGACATGTTGACGAGTGGGGTGAAAAAGAATTATTACAACTTCAAATCCATCCTTGACACGCAACTACGAGCGTTTTATCCTAGTTCCAACTCCACCTTGGATATGCAATTAAAGGCCAAATTTTTGTCCCGGTCGCAAGTCCATCCTCAACATGCAACTAGACCCTACCCATTTTTTTCCATTATTGCAGGTCCACCCTCGACACGCAACCAGGGGTGGTGGCGACTCTTTTTATGTTCTCAGTTACAACTCCACCCTAGATACACCACTGGGGTCTGAACCATTTTTGTCCTAGTTACTAGTCCATCCTTCACACACAATTGGCCCTGACCCATTTTTGTCCCAGTTGCAAATCCACTCACGACATGCAACTGGGGCCGCGACCAATTTTTGTTCCAGCTATAAGTCCATCCTTGACACGCAATTGAGGGCCCTACCCACTTTTGTCCCAATTGCAAGTGCATCTACAACACACAACTAGACATGGTCCATTTTTTGTCCGAGTTGCAAGTCCACACTCGACATTCAACTAGGGTGTCGGGCTATCTGTTTTTATCTTAGTTGCAATTCCACCCATGATATGTTGGAAATATGCCCTAGAGGCAATAATAAATTGGTTATTACCATATTTCCTTGTTCATGATAATCGTTTATTATCCATGCTAGAATTGTATTGATAGGAAACTCAGATACATGTGTGGATACATAGACAACACCATGTCCCTAGTAAGCCTCTAGTTGACTAGCTCGTTGATCAATAGATGGTTACGTTTCTTGACCATGGACATTGGATGTCGTTGATAGCGGGATCACATCATTAGGAGAATGATGTGATGGACAAGACCAAATCCTAAGCCTGGCACAAGATCGTGTAGTTCGTATGCTAAAGCTTTTCTAATGTCAAGTATCATTTTCTTAGACCATGAGATTGTGCAACTCCCGGATACCGTAGGAGTGCTTTGGGTGTGCCAAACGTCACAAGTAACTGGGTGGCTATAAAGGTGCACTACGGGTATCTCCGAAAGTGTCTGTTGGGTTGGCACGAATCGAGACTGGGATTTGTCACTCCATGTAAACGGAGAGGTATCTCTGGGCCCACTCGGTAGGACATCATCATAATGTGCACAATATGACCAAGGAGTTGATCACGGGATGATGTGTTACGGAACGATTAAAGAGACTTGCCGGTAACGAGATTGAACAAGTTATCGGGATATCGACGATCAAATCTTGGGCAAGTATCGTACCGATAGACAAAGGGAATTGTATACGGGATTGATTGAATCCTTGACATCGTGGTTCATCCGATGAGATCATCGTGGAGCATGTCGGAACCAACATGGGTATCCAGATCCCGCTGTTGGTTATTGACCGGAGAGTTGTCTCGGCCATGTCTGCATGACTCCCGAGCCCGTAGGGTCTACACACTTAAGGTTCGATGACGCTAGGGTTATAGGAAAAGTATGTATGCGGTTACCGAATGTTGTTCGGAGTCCCGGATGAGATCCCGAACGTCACGAGGAGTTCCGGAATGGTCTGGAGGTAAGGATTGATATATAGGAAGTATGTTTTTGGCCACCAAAAGTGTTCCGGGCATCACCGGTAGTGTACCGGGACCACCGGAGGGGTCCGGGGGTCCACCGGGAGGGGCCACGGGCCCCGGAGGCATACATGGGCCAAGTGTGAGAAGGGACCAGCCCCTAGGTGGGCTGGGGCGCCTCCCCACCAAGGCCCATGCGCCTAGAGAGAAGAGGGGGCAAACCCTAAGGGCAGATGGGCCCTAAGGCCCATGCCTGGTGCGCCTCCCTCTCCTCCCCCCTTGGCCGCCACCCTAGATGGGTTTTGGGGCTGCCGCCACCCCTAGGGAGGGAACCCTAGATGGGGGCGCAGCCCCTCCCCTTTAACTATATATACTTGAGGTATTGGGGGCTACAAGACACGCGAGATCCTCTCCCTCTTGGCGCATCCCTACCTCTCTACCTCATCGTCTCTCGTAGTGCTTGGCGAAGCCCTGCTGGAGTTCCGCGCTCCTCCACCACCACCACGCCGTCGTGCTGCTGCTGGACGGAGTCTTCCCCAACCTCTCCTTCTCCCCTTGCTGGATCAAGGCGTAGGAGACGTCACCGGGCTGCACGTGTGTTGAACGCGGAGGCGCCGTTGTTCGGCGCTTAGATCGGAATCAACCGCGATCTGAATCGCTACGAGTACGACTCCTTCATCTGTGTTCTTGCAACGCTTTCGCTTAGCGATCTACAAGGGTATGTAGATGCACTCCCCTTCCTCTCGTTGCTAGATTACTCCATAGATTGATCTTGGTGATGCGTAGAAAATTTTAAATTTCTGCTACGATCCCCAACATGATCCACAATCGGGGGCAGATCCATTTTTGTCTCAATTGCAAGTCAATCCTCGATATGCAGCCCCGACCCATTTTCATCCTAGTTGCAAGTCCACCGTCGACACTCAACTAGTGGTGGGGGTGATCCGTTTTTGTCCCAGTTGCAAGTCCACCCTTGATACACAACTGGTGGGCCGGACAAATTTGTGTCCTAGTTATAGTCCATCCTCTTTGTTTTATTTTTTTTTCTTTCTATTGTTTACTTTTTTTTTTCTTTTTCTTTTAGAACTCATGGTTTTT